TTAAATATATATATTCCTTCACAGCATGGAGAGTCTTGACAGTTTATACTGTGAATTTGTTTCAGCACTAGTAAGGGAATCTGACTGGAATAAATCTATAATTTATGGGATTTGCACATTATAAACCCAGAGAAGATGCATACCTTGACAAAAGCAGATGTTGCACATACAGGGAAGCACCTCTGAAAACATAGTTTTGTCACTTAAGAAATTCTTGATTTCTATTTTGTGGGATTTCTTGTTTTTATACTGAGGAATCTAATCCACAGTACTGATTATAGCATGGTTTGGGGGAGTGTGGGTACTGTGACACAGTGCAGAACTGTGTTTGAAATTGTTGTTTCTTTTCCTTGGCTAAAGCCAGTTGCAGTTGGGTTTCTGTAATTGGCAGTTGCTCCTTGCTGGCACTTTGGCTTCAAATCTTAAAAAAGAGCAGCTTTTATATTTCCTAATTCATGAAGTGTTCCTAACCCCCCAGAATTCACCAGTGGAATTTTTAATCTTTTGTGGAAGCAAAAGCAGCACGTACATGAGGGAGAAGAGTCTACAAAATCTAATCCAAGTACAGAAAGGTTAATATTGCACGTGGCTGAAGCAGCCTCAGCCGGGAAGTGCCAAACAGCTTCCACTGTGCTGTCCCATTTGTTAAGGAGATTTTTCTCTTCTGCCTACACCGTTTCAGAATCTGTGGTATCACTGCGTTGGTTCTCCACGGCCCAGTGTTTGCTCAGCATTGCCAACACTTGAACACACGTGTTAGTTGCACATTCGCCATGGTGACACATGCAGCAGTTTGCTCTCACTGCCAAATTCCTCCTTGGTCATTTGCATATCCACTGTGGGGATGTGAATTGTAGTTCAGCACCCAAATCTGACATGCAAATGCACATGTTTGTTTCTGAAAGTGTGAGACTCACTTTCGATCTGGTTTTGCTACTGAGGTTTTTTTAACCACTGCTTACCTGCTGGGAGAATAAAAGTTAAGAAATGTGCTTAGAAGCCTGACCCCGTGTTGTCTGAGCAGTTTTTCCTGCTGCCCTTTCCCTGCCGGTTCAAAGGGCCCCACTACTCATCCCAGAGCTGGAACATGCACAGGTGGGTCTGAGCAGGGCATGAAAGCACTCAGGGCTTCCTTTATTCTTGGGAGAATCTGTGTGAAAATCGTGCTTTTTTGCACCCTTCTAGACTCCGGTGGCCTGAATTACCCTTTAGTTACCCACCAGCCCTGCCGGGTTTCTCAGCTTGAGCCCCTAAGCCCAGGAGTTGGTGGGAAGGGCCCTGGGAGCATCTGCTGTCACCCGCAGGGGTACGTGGGTGGAGCTGCTGTGAGACCGGGGTTAGCGCTGTGCCTGGGCCACGCTGAAGTCCCAAATGCCGCCGGTCGCTGTGTTTTTCCCGGTGGGATCGCGGCGGTTCCGAGGGACCGGCCCCGCACCTGCCGACAGGTGCGCTGGGCGCTGCTGCCCCCTGGCGGCCGCCGGCGGCACCGCGCCGGCCCCTCGGGACATCCCGGGAAGGGATTCCACCGGGAATCGGAGCAATTACCTGGTGCAGCTGGAGCGGGGGGAAATCGCTCTGAAGCAATGCGGGCGAAGACATTTTGGATGGCTTAATTTAAAAGCAGCTATTCCAAAATTTAAGAAAATACTGCACTTGTCAAAACTTGGAATGAAGTGCGTATTCTGAGAGAAGACAGCTGTCTGACTTCCTTATTCTAGAACAAAAAGAAGTTTTTACCTAGGTGACCCATTCTCATATTCAGTTATCAATACATTGGCTTTTCCCTCAGTCGTTTCACAGGTTGGAGTTCTTCACTTAATATGCTTAGAAAAGAAAAATTATCTGTTGACTTGCTTGGCAGTTACTTTGGATAATTTCCTATTTTATCAGACCAATATAAAACTCTAATCCTCTTTGTACAAGCAATAACTGCCCCATCTAACTTTGTTTCATCTGCAAATCAGTGCAAGAGTAAACTTGATTTTTTTAATGCTCTTGGCTACGGAACCCCCCAAAGCTGAACACAGACATTGGTGACTGCAGAGCCCTGGGGTGCTGCTGGACTGTGAGCTCTGGCTGCTCCTCCCGGCCCAGGAGCTATGCCTGGAAGGGGCAGGGGAACCCAGAGCTCAGCTTCTACCAGCTCACAGAAGTTATTCCACCTCGTCCAGCCCATCCCATTCTCCAAACCAATAGGTCTCGCTCCACTGCTCCAGAGGACAGCAAACCCACTCTGCTGTGTGGCCCCTGCCAGCTCTCAGGCCTGCTCTGTGCCTCAGTTTCCTCATAGCCCAGATGCCTTTTGCAGAGCCACCCAGCTTGATTTTGGGGGCTGCTAAAGCCACATCAGACTGGCCAGAGTGACAGCAGTCAGGGAGGAGGCAGGGAGGAGGTGCCAGGCAGGGCGGGGGTGCCCCTGCCTACCCCATTCCCTGTCCCTCATCAGGGGGACACCCAACCCCTTCCCTGTGCCAGCTGCCACACACACTGGGCCAGGGAGAGCTCCTGGGGCTCACACAGGCACGGCGGGGCCTGCGATGGGCTCCTGTGTGTCCCCTGCAAACACCCCTCCTGTCCCACCCAAGCGGCCTGGCTGGGGGCACCCTGCTCCCCGAGACAGCTGTGGGACAGTCACAGTGGGCATTGCCACAGGGTCTGGTTTATGTTCCACCTGCCCAGGTCGGAGCCCCCCCCATGCCCCGGGTGGGCCCCGGCCCCGCTGCTCGTGACTCACCCACCCAACGGGAGCGGACCCGCCGGCTCTCCTGCCTCCCTTCCATCCCGGTGAAGACGTTATTTTTACCTCAACCACACCAAGAGATGCTCATTTATTTTAAACACTAAAGCATCTGTGGGCTGTTTCTAGAGCCCAGTCCTAAAGCTGCCATGAACAACAGTCCTTACCTGCTCTTTAGGAGCTCAGCCTTTGGGAAGCCAGAGCAGGGCTCCAAGCTGTGCTGGTTAAACACCTTTCACCTTTTCCTCCATGGCTGTGCAGCCCCACAGGTGAGGTCACCCACCCGAGAGGAGGTTTTTACCTGTGGGGCTGCGTGTAAGGATCAGTGGCACAGGCTGAGGCTGCCCAGAAGATTGGGTGACAGCACAGGGGCACGTGCACCATTGCCTTTGTGCAACAGCCAGTTTTGGGGGTACAGAAGGGTCTGGATGCAAGGGGTCACTGGGCATTATTGAGGGCAGCTCTGGTTTGTACTGATGGGACCTTCATCAGGGGCTCTCATTTCAGATTTGAACAGGAGATGGATGAGCTTTGTGGGCCTTGCTGGAGCATGGAGCTGCTGGAGAGGCTGGTCCTCCTCCCAGCCCTGCCCCTGGATAACACCAAGATAACAGACAAGAGCCCCAGCTGGAGGGGTTTATACATTCAATTAACCACCACAGCCAGAAGGAATTAAATCATCTGAGGCAAAGAAGCTGGAGGAATGGGGGGGTGGAAGAAGTTATTTAAAAAACAACTGCACTAAAACATCGCTACATTTACACAATTAAAGTTAAGACTTCAGTTTCCCTCAAACTACACATTAACATCCATGGTTTAGAACCATTGGAAGAAATTTCAGCTGCTATGTCAACCACTGATTTTCACATTCATTTTATAGTTTTGCTGGCTTTCCTTCACAGTCACCTTATTCCCCATTTTTCCTTTCTAGGACACACTGTTTCCCTGCCACCTTGGAGTGTGTTGCTGTGCCCTCAGACCCCCAAGTGAGTGGGAAACACAGTGCCTGTAGCGCAGCCCTCACACATCAAATCCCCTCTGCACCAGGACCAGGCTCTCACCGAGCAGCAACACAGCACTGCAGCCCCCAACCCCCTTCCCACTCACGTCAGCAGCACCAAATCCAAAGAAATTGGTTCTCACAACCAGGAACCCCCTCCCAAATCCTGCCCAACCCAGCAGCTGGTGCAGATCCTACCTCAGCCTCGAGGGTGAAACCTCCACCCTGCTCGCAGGCTCACCCCCTACCAGCCACCACCGGGGCTGCCCTGGCAGGGAGGGGCTTGTCTCTAGTCCTCAGGTAAGTAGTTGGTGGCAGCTGTCGGCCCCATTCCCAGCTGGTTAAACACCCACAGCCGTGCCGTGCCCCGGGGGTTGGGTCTAGCCTGGCAGGGAGGAGTACCCGGACCTGCTGTTCGTCCTGGCCACAACGCAGGGAGTTCATTAAACTGGTTGGGGTTTGCTGAATGGCTGCAGCGCCTCTACCCTTTCGGGCAGCAGGAGTGCCCGGGAATGGAGATTAAAGCACTCCCATCATTAGTGCTCTCAGTGTTGGGCATTGTTCTCACATCGAGCTGAACATGCAGACACTGATCTGGGGGTTTCCGGGAGTAATAAAGGACCTGAGGCGATCCGAGGATTTTTTTTTTCCCTGTCTCCTTTAGGTGATCTCTGAACCCCAGTATTTTTAACCAGCAGAGGTGGCTGGACCCGCCGTGTCCCTGAGCCCAGCACAGTCCCCGGCCTGGCTGGGTCAGTCCTTGGTCCCCGTCCATCCCGGGTGACCATGCCCCGACAGCCCCCAGGAGGTGGCAGCAGCTCCTCGTGCTCGTTTCCTGCGGTGGGAAATCAGCCCTCGGTCCCTTTCTGGAGGCTCCTCTCGGTGGGCAGCAGCAGGCACAGCCGGGGATGGCCGACGGGCAGCCCGAGGGCACAGCCAGTCCGGGTGCCCGGGCACACGGGGTGCAGCAGGTCCTGCTGCTGCCGGACACGCCGTCGCTGCGTCCCTCGGCAGGAGGAAGGCTCGGCTGACGGGCAGGGGGAGGTTTCTTTGCCCCGTGTCCCCGTGCCCTGTCCCTCTGATCACTCGCATGTGGCCCCAAGCCCTCCCACGGTCCAGTCCGGGCCACTCCCTGCGGCTGCCACGGCAGCAATTCCCTCATCCCTGTTCCATCCTTGTTCCCATCCCTGTTCCCATCCATCCCAGAGCGTGGCTGCCAACACAGAGCTGAACAGAGCCAAATGCCAGTTTTGCATGAGTGAATTTACTTTAGAAATGGACAACTTCTGGGACACGGTGACTGGTCAGCACGGACACCACGGGATCCCCTCGTGTGACAGTGCCTGGGACGGGGCAGGGGAGCTGCTGGGGGGGCTCTTGTGGGGGTGGCTTTGCATCAGGCCCTTGGCACATCTTCTTGGTCCCTTTTGTCCCAACCCCTCCCCGTGGGTGTGCTGCCCACACTGACCTCCAAGGGCCAACTCAATCCTGCAGGATGCTGTTGCCCTGGCAGCTGCTGCCCTGTTGTTCCTGTGCCAGGGATACCCTGTGGCCACAGCCCCATCTCCAGGATGCTGCTCAGCCACAGATTTGTCAATCCCTGCCTGGAGACCACAACCTGGGACTGCCATTAGTCACTCCAGGATTACTGTAACCCCAAATCCCTGCTCTAAACACATGAGAGTGGTGGGTTTCATTCAAATGGAGGGAGTGGGGTAGCACAGCGGGCACAGAGAGCAGTCCCTGAGAGCTATAGGGAGGTGCTTCATAATCCCAAGTGAGGTAGCTGTGTGACATGGTCCTGCTCCCCAGCAGGAGAGGATATGGTTGTGGGGGCTGTAGGAGCCAACACTGAAGGTAGATGCCCCTCAGGGCCTCTTGGCCCCTAGCCTGCCCTGCCAGGCACAGTTTTTAAGACAACCAAGTTCCTACTTGGTCATCAGAGCACCAGGATGAAAAACAAAGGCCAAGGGCCCAGAGAGCAAACGACAGGAGAGACTACCCTGGGCTGCACCGTGAGCAGATCTCAGGCACTCAGGGTCTGGTTTCGTCCTTGTTTTCTCAAGTGCAAAGACCAGGCTCAGAGTTGCAAGAGCCAAACCAGAGCAGGAGGCAAGGCTGGTCTTACATTTTCACATCACTTCACCTACAGAACATCTGGGGACCCGCTGGGTACGTGGGTGAGAGGAATGTTGTGTTTGGGTTTGTCCTGCGGCGTGCTGGCAGGACAGAGCTGGGCACAGCCAGGCTCAGAGCAGGTCTTTCACCAGGGCCGATGGCAGGGCTTCCCCTGCCACGTTCACAGCACCCAGGCCCGACCTCTTCCGTGTGACCAGCACCATCACCTGCACTGTCCTCTTCAGCCCCGGCTGGCAAGCAGCTCCATCGGCCAGGATGGCCAGGGGACCGTGCAGGGGGGAGCTGCTGGGCGCCTGGGGAGGGTTGTAGCACTTGGGGTAGTTGCTGAAACACTCAAAAGCGTCGTTGCAGTTTCTGCAAGCCCCGGCGTGGTCACTGACACCCGGGGACGGGAAGGGCTGGAGCGCCGCGCTCGGGCAGCCGCAGCAGAGCAGGGTGCGGAGGGCCTGGAGGAGCACCCTGTCCTTGGAGAGGAACTTGTGGAAGTTGGGCTTGAAGAGCAGGTACACCAGCGGGTTGTAGAGTGTCGAGGACTTGGCAAAGACGGCCGACAGCACGAAGGCCAGCGCTGGCACCTGGCTGGTGTCCCCGAGCAGTGCCCACAGGGCAACCACGGCATAGGGGGTCCAGGCAGCCAGAAACCCCAGGCACACGGCAACGCTCAGCTGGAAGAGAAGGAAATGGAGATGGTGGTGCCAGGAGCCTCCTGTGGCACACACGGGACACTGACACCCCTTCCAAAACTCAGCCATGTGCAGCTGGACCCCAAACAGTGCTCACATCCCCAGGGAAAGGACCTCTGCACCTGTCACCCTGGAGCACTGTGATGTCAGACATCAGGGCAGCAACTCAGCACACCCCATGCATAAACCTCCTCTCACTTCAGGCAACTCACACCCTGTCCCACCTGGGAAACTTGGGAATTGCCTCAGCCTTCCACAGGAGATGGGTACAAAGGACCCAGACACCTTGCTGGGACCAGGTCAGCATTGGACCCCAACAGCCTTTGGAAGCATTGAAAATCCCTCCAGCAATCTGTGTGCTGGCATGTGGGTTGACTGGGACGCCTGGAAATGGGCTGTGCTCAGCCCCCCTCCCCTGATCGGACATGGCTTGCCAGTCTTGCCAGGCTTGCAAGCTGTTTTCTTTCATGCTGTGTTTTTTTTAAAAGGGTATTCACTTTTTTTTTTGACATATCCTTGGTAAATTATAGTATTAGCTTGTAGTCTGGGGAACAATGACTCATGCAAGCTCCTTTCTGATCTTTTCCAATGTAATTTAAAATGAAAACTCCTCCACCTGATGGCTTTAAATGAGAAATATGTTATTACCCACGCTGACACAAACACCTGGAGAATTTATCAGGAACAGCAGACACGCGGCAGGAGGGGCCCTGCTGCATTCACCTGCCCACGGGGTGGGGGGCTGGGGCACCCCGAGGCCCTGCAGCCCCCCAATCCCCCCTACCTTGAGGAGCAGGCTGTGCAGGCTGCGGGCTCTGCGCCGGGGGGACGTGTGCTGCTGGACGGCTCTCCGGGACACCCACACCGTCCACAGGATCAGCGAGTAGGAGGCGAGGATGAGGAGGCAGGGGAGGAGGTAGCAGAAGATGAAGAGGGCGAGGATGTAGAGCGTGGCCTCCCTGCTCGAGGTTTCCCAGGTGATGCAGCAGGCTGTCCCGTAGGGCTCGGGGCCGTAGCTGCCCCACTCGGCCAAGGGGGCCGTGGCGAAGGTCAGGGCGTAGGCCCACACACACAGCAGCAGCACCGCGGCGTGGCTCGGGGAGAACCTGTTCCCTGCGGCAGAGGGACTGGGGTGAGGGTGGCTTCTCATGGTGAAGAGAGGGGACTGCAACCCCGAGCCACCCACACCTGCAGGTGCTGGCACAAGGAGCCGGGACAAATGTCAGGGTTGGCCCCAGCCCAGCAGTGAGCAGCAGGATTGGCCACAGCCCCTTCAGCCTCCGGGGGAATTGCTGGGAAGGGGCTGCATGTGACACGTGGGGACACACTGCACCCACAGCCCACGGGCAGCCAGCAGGGTGGCTGGGCAGCTGCCCCTGCCTGGGACATGGGGCAGGGGCAGGGCTAGACTGAAACTCTAGCAGAGGTGGGTTTTTTTAACTTTTTAACTTTTGGTCCCCCCATCTCCCCCATCACATCTCAAACTCTCTGATCTTCTAAAACTCACTATAAAGCGCTAAATCTTCTACCATACATAGAAGTAACATTTTTATTTGAAACTAAGCAACTAAAAGCACATTTTGATTATGCATTTCCTCACAGAAGGTGGGCTGGGCTGTAGATAAGCCCCCTGCGTCAGACTGCCCAGCACAGGCCAATGGAGAGCAGAAGCTGCTCAGGGAAAAGCCACCAGCACCTGGGCTACCTTTCAATAGCCAGCTTTCATCTTTATCTTTCCTCCCACCTTTTTAGTCACCTCCTGAGCTGCTGTGCTGGCACATAACCAAGGTGACTCTGCTCCAGCATCGCCCTTGAGGCACTGAAAGCTGCTGGGGACAAAGCATGCTGGTGGCCTGCAGTGGCCACTGGCTCAGGGCAGACTGGCAGTGAGTTGGGAGAGAGGGGAGAGGATGGACCCTGGGTGCTGGGCTGCAAATCAAACTATTGCATCAGATTTCCCATTTTATTTCTATTTTTGGTCTTTCATGCAAAGTGTATTCTGAAGATGTATGCTAGAAGGAGGATTAGCAGCTGAGCTGAGGAAATTAAGAACTCCAAACTGGAGGAGGAGCTGTGTAGGGAATGAGTAGGGAACACCCCTGGGCCCCCTTGCTTCCTCAGGTGCTCTCTGCAGTGCAAACATTCACCTTAGCTCTGTGGAGGACATCCAGGTGGAAACAGGGCTACAGACAGGAGCTACAACACTGCAAACCCAGCCCTCCTGTATTAATTATTTCACTGAATTATATACATTTGGCTTATGGCTCTCTCACCAGGGACTGGGGAAAGCAGCTCTTGTTGCTCTGCCAGAGTTTGTGGCTTCCCAGATGTAGAGTCTGCCCTGGTCTAAGCTCAAGTCTGTGAACGATTGTTCAAAAATCTGCAACCTGCTCTAGTACAGCTGTGTGGATGTGGCACCTGGAGGCATGGGTTAGTGATGCACTTGGCAGTGCTGGACTAACAGCTGGACTCTGTGATCTTAAAGACTTTTTCCAATCTAAACTTGTTTCTGTGATTCTAAGACTCAGTGCATTGACTGGGAATGGGTTGCCTCCGGGCAAAACTTTTCCAGAAGAGGTGGATCTGACTCACTGCAAAAAAAAAAGAAAGGGGGCTCTGTTGACAGAGAGGGGTGTAGGTATGGATCAGGTAACGCATCCCAGCACTTACCATATGCTGGGTAACAGACCTTGAGGCAGCAAACCGTGCTGAGCACCGTCAGGCTGGCGAGGCTGCACAGCCCGAACAGGACCCCGCAGAAGGCATAGAGGGTGCAAACCGCCCGGTCAAACAGCCACCTGCGAGGAGAGCTGCAAGTGAACCCATCCCTCCCCCTGCCCAGGGCAGCTGGATGACAGCCCTGCCACAGGAGTCATCTCCATGGGCCCTGCTCCGCAGGGAGGCTGGGAATTTCCCAGCTGCTGGTCCCACACCAGGAGCAAAGCTGGGCACATGTGGGGTGGCTCCAATGGGCTGCACAGGTACCAGCACCTGACCGAGAAAACATGGGCGTGATCTCGCTGCTAATTTGTTCTCTGAGCACCCCAGTGACAAGGACAGATGGAGCCACAGGTGCAGGAGCTGCCCTGCCCCATGCTGGCACACACCACTGCAGTGCTTGTGCCACGTGGTGCCAGCTCAGAGATCCACCCCCCCCCTTTTACAGCAGGTCTGTGTGAGGAACCAGAGGGACGGGGAGCAGCAAAGCACCCGCGGTGGGGTGGATGTCTGGGAGCTTACACAGTGCCCCAGTGCCACCAGGCTGAGGCCTGGGCCCCCCTGCGCCCCCTATAAGGGATCTCCCCACTTCCAGACGAGGTTTGCAAACTGCCCCCTGCCACTTCCATGAGGTACCTGTGTGCAAAGAAGGAGGAGGTGGCCAAGGGGAAGAGCGTCACCGTCATGCTCAGGTCACTGATGGCCAGGTTGACGATGAAGAACTCGGCAGGTTTCAGCAAGGACCTCTTCTGATAGGCCACCAGCAGCAGCAGTGAGTTCCCAGAGAAGGACATGATGCCTGTGGAGAAGGCAGAGGAATAGTGCTGTGTGTAACAGAGCCAGGAAGGGAACAAGGAGCATCTTGAGATGTTTGGAAGCAAATACCAGAGAAGTTTTATGGAGCCTGGAAAGGGCTCCAGGCTTCCCTCTCTAGACCCTGGGCTGAACAGGGGAGCCCATGGGACCCGCAGAGCTCTGTGAGCACATCTGGAGCTGCTTTACATTGGATCTGATCCCTTCCCCTTCCTGAGATCCTACAGAGGCGTTTGGTAGGAGGGCAGTGATGGGATGGGACTGCAGTGGGTTCCGGGTGCAGGATCTGGCCAAAGTCACTTCTTCCAGCTGGAAGGAGCAAGGGGGACACTTCCTTCCAGCTAGATAAATAACAGGGGCTTTGTGCAATTGTCCTCTGATGTGAGGCCAAGGAGCTGGGCCCCTTCCCCTTCGTAATTTCTTCCTGGCAATGTCACTCCTGTGACTCTGTGCTGTCCAATATCATGGTAACAAAACAAACAAGAAGAAAGGAACTATGAAGATCAAGGAAAATCCAGACTAAACAAAAGAAGGCTCTCTGTTTGCTATTAGTGTATTTAAATCAACAGTGGTGATTAAAGTTTTATAACAAGGGCTTTCTCTTTTTATTATGTAATTGTGCTTTCATGGAAAAGAGGTTTCCGTGTCCTCAGAAGGGGAATCTTTGCTGCTCTTTAGGCAGGTTGGGCAGGATAAGAGTTTCTCCCTAATGGATTAGGCTGTAAATTAAATCTCATGGTAAGAACCAGCTTCCAAAGCTGCTGAATGGCCAACAATAAAGTTCCCCTCAGGAACAGGATTCTCACATGGGACCTGGCCAAATACAGAGCTTTGGAGGCTTTGGAGTTGCTGGAGGGCAGAATGCTGAGATGTTTACCCTTCTTCCTAGCCTCACAAGGCATTTTTCCCACAGAGTGAGTCTCACATCTGTGGTAAGCACATTTTATCAGCTGTAGATGCCTACAGGACTGCTGTCAGTCCAGTGGTGTGAACCCTTTGGGTTCCCCGTCCTCACAGACGTAAAAACCTCTTCTAGCATTTGGGAGACAACTCACTCAGGGCTCAGAAGACTTGGGAGGCTTTTCTTTGTCCATCATTCACTTCTGGCCCACACCAACCAGGTCTGGGCCACCTCAGAGCGAGGCCCAGCCCCTCAGTTTTGCCTGCTGGCTTTTCAGTGCCACTAACTCCAAATCAAAGAACCTTCACCAGCAGCTTCTGCTGAGAGCAAGGGCCAGCTCGAGGTCCAAATCCCCTTCAACAAACATGAAGCTGGTGATGCCAACAGAGTCCCTGCCCATCTCACATTGGGTGGCTGTGATAGGAGTTACAGCACGTTCCTCAGAAGTTATTCTTCAACTTTCCAAATATTTGAAACCATAGCAGGCACTTGCAGTTCCCCTGAGAGGGGAATGCAGTCACCAAGCTTTGGCCAGATCATCATTTTGAGTAATGTGGGAAGGGTCAGCTTAATTATTCTGCTAACGACTGGACACTTCTGGAAGCATCAGCGGCTGAAAAGGCCTGGACGTCTCTGGAAGGCAGGTAGGCAGCACCTGGGCTGCCTGCAGCAGGGACACAGGGATAACAGGCCTTTCCTTACCAAAGACTAAATAGAGTGTGCCAAAAATCAGGTCTTCTCTCTCCGATAAGGTGGAGGTGAACACCGAGATGTTGGACACATTTCCCATCTGCAAAGCAAGGTACACATACAAGTGAGAGTGAATTCTGGCAAATGAAGGTGTGCCCAGCTCCCTTGGTTTCTGGGAGGACAGCTCTTGGTCAGCTGTGTGGAACCCCAGCCCCAGCTAACCCTGCCTGTGGCACCAACCCTGTGGAAAGGGAAGGAGGGAGGAGGTTTTGCTACTTACTCATCAGCTTCTAAGTTTCTCTTCAAAATTCTTTGAGAAAGTGACTCTTTCCCCTCAACAACAAACAGATAAAAATGGTGCAGAGCTCCCACAGGCACATTTTGGATGTGTGCACTGAGATACCAGCCTGTGCCTTTGGGATAAACACACACACATTTGGGCAGCTATAGCTCTGTCTGGGGGACTGAGACACTTGTTGCTCTGCCCATCTCTGTTGCAAGACTGCAAGGAAGGGATCTGCAGGTCCTGGTGATGAGAGCCCTGCAATGGTGCAAGTTGGGTGAGACCCAACTGAGGGGTCAGAGGGTTGCAGAGATGTCCCAGACGCCAGGGAGGCCCCCGAAGAGCCACTCACCCTGGGAGCAAGGGTGGTGCAGAGGAGAGTGAGTCCAGCAGGAGAGGAGGAGGTGGAGGAGCTGGAGGTTGCACACCCCAAGTATGATGGGGGCAGGAGGACATAGTCCCAGGGGTGAAAGGGGGCTCCTGGGTTCATCTCTTCCACAGAGCATCCTGGATGCTCAATGCTTCACAACCCAGCAGAAATAACCTCCTTTCCTCTCCTATGCTGTTCAGAGGGTAGAGATTTTCCACATGCAGGGACAGGTGATTTATACCTCCCTGTACAGACCAAGTGACTCTGGCCATGAGGACAACGTCCTTCATTAACCTAATCAGAAACAACCTTCATTTAGGGCTGGGCAAATCACTCCTGAATTCTCATAATGCACAGTTCTTCCCTAGGCCATATTTCATCTTCCTCAAGAGTCCTTAGAAGCAGATGAGCTGAACACAGCACATGCACACGATCTCTCTGAGAGGCTTTAGCAAAGCATCCATTATAAATACAGAGCCAGGGAGAAAGGAGGGACTGTGGTCACACAGCTGCACTGGGGACGAGACAGGGCAAGGCCCACCACGAACAGTCTGGAAGGAATTGTTCCTGCTCCTCAGCATGCAGGCACACACGCAAAAAGGAAGAGAACTGGCCAAGCTTGTAGGTCTTTATTTCCTTCAGATCCCTGGCAGGTCTCCATCCTGCAATACGTCAGGGGAGCTGCAAGTGTCCTGTGAGATCAAGCTGGCAAAAAGGGATAATAATCTGAAGGAGAGGAACTTCTATTTCTGACATTACTTGGGATAGGCCTTATTTTTATGATTGTGCTTAAGCTACTTGTAAAGCACACATCACTCCCTGTAAGACAGAACTGATAAAAATGCACCTCTTGCACTGATCGATGTGCTGATGTCACTGACACACAGACAATAAATTAGTTTTATAGAAACATGGAGAGCTATCACTTTTGTGCCCGAAAGTAAATCATAAACTGGATCCTGTAAACTTGCCTGTGCAGCAGACAGGCAAGTGAAGCTGGGATCAGTACAGAAATTAGTGAAAAATCTCAGACTTTCCCCTGCTGCTTTCACTGAGGGCTTGTAAAATCTTCCTCCTCCCCCCCCCCCCCCAACAAATTAGGAGGTGGTGCACTTGTCTGAGCTCCTTTGTAGGGGGGAGTGCTGGGACCTCTTCTCACCTGGCCCCAGGAGGTGCTTACACGGTCTTCTTCCTTGTGGAAGCAAGACAGTGAGTAGTCTGCTTCCCTGGCAATTCACAAACCTGTTCTGGTTCTTGTTGTCCACTGAAAACCTGCCCAAACGTTCCCCTCCCACCAAGGTTCTCCCTCAGGTGAGCATGTGATGGGGGAAGCTTGCACAGGCCTCCCTCTCTGCTGTCAACTTTAGTGGATGGAGTGACAAGCTGCAGAAATATCAGTGCAGGTATTAAACACATTCACAATAATTTCTGACAGAAACAGCTACAGGAGTTTTCTTCCAACTCAGGAACATTTCAAATGCATGACTGTGCTCAATGAAGACTGGATCTGTGGCTCCTCAGGGAGGGATTCAGCCGAGACTGTCTCCTCAGGGTAGCCAGCCAGCACAGCACAGCCCTTTAACATCAAACTGCTCAGCCACGTAGTCTCTGGGCATACAGAGCTGCTGCTGAATTTGATTTAAGCTCCATTGCTCAGACTCTGTTCTGAGAAGAGACAGACTGTGAAAGCTGCTTTCCCCTCAATTTAATCAGACTTCAAAATGAGATGAAGTTTTCCAAGTAGCTGCTGCCACAGGTACATTACCAGGAAACCCTTGTATTCTGCATCCCAGCCCTTATTCTTGTGTTCACAGGAAGAATCAAACCTAAACCTTGACTTACATCCCACGTCTATGTCTGGCACCTGGGAGGGCACTGGCATGGCTGGACTATCCTGGCCACTCTGTCTACGTGAAAGATCATAGATTTTATTTCATGTGATTATCGAGTTTGCCCATTTCCCCTTCAGACTTGGACAGTTGCTTTTCTTCAGCCAACATGCCACAAAGCCATGTCTGCCTTGGAGAGGAGAAGGAAATCTGATGGGCCTGGAAACTCCACTGACCTCCAGACTCCTTCAACAGTAAAGAGCAGGAATCGATTTCTGCAGTTCCCAGCACAGGGGAAGCTCAGACATTGCTGCCAGCCTAGTAAACAGTGTAGGGCTTAAAAAGTCACAAAAGAGCAAAAGAGCACAAACGAGAACTGCTCAGGATCTGAAGGACAGGTAGCCCTCGGACCCCTACCCAAAATCACGGAGTTCTCCTCTGCCGGGGCTGCCCATCCCCACCGACTACAGACAGTAAAATCTGCTTTTTGCTTCAGTTCCCTACCTGGGACTCTTGCAAGCTCCTTTGCGGGGGTGCAACCCCACTCACACCCCAAGCGTGTCTCTCACTCACACGCACCGTGCCCGTGGTGGCCCCGGCGGGGAGCAGCGCTCGCACCCCGGGCTGCCACTGCCGGTCCCTTATCCCCGGGACACCCCCTGCCCACGCTGTGCTCCAGCACCCCCGGGAATGTCCCCGCAGCCCCGGCTCATCCACGGCCCGCGGGGCCGGGCTCCCCGCCCTGCTGCAGCCGGGGACACCCGGGGCACCCGCGGGAACGAGTCCTCCCCCCGCCCAGGGGTGCTCGGGGCACCGCGTCCCCCCGGGGCAGCGGCTCCCCCGCGGCCGGGTCCCCCTCACCTCTCCTGGAGGAGCCCCCGGCGCCGCCCGCTCCGCTCCCCGCCGACGGGAACTTACCGGGACGGCGCGGGATCCGCCACAGCGCTCAGCACCGCCGGGACGGACAGCTCCGCGCTCCGTCCCTCCCGCACCGCGCTCCGTCCCTCCCGCACCGCACTCTGTCCCGCACCGCTCTCTGTCCCGCACTTCGCTCCGCCCGCACCTCGCTCTGTCCCTCCCGCACCGCGCTCCGCCCGCACCGCGCTTTGTCCCTCCCGCCCTGCCCGCGGTGCTGGGGAGACTGTGGGGCACCGTCCCCGCATCCGGGACGGCCCCCGCGCTGCAGCTCAGCCCGGGCACCCCCTTCCCCCGCACCCCCTCCCACCAGCGCCCAGCCCAGCCCAGCCCGCTCCCCTCGCACTCACCGGCCTCGGAGCCGCGACTTTCCCAGCAAGAGAAACTGAGGCACGAGGAGCGTCGTTTAAGGCAGCACTCCACGGCCTCAGCACCTCCAGGCTCGCTTTTCCCTCCCCGTGGCTGCCCCCTCTCCTCCTCCCGAGGGAGGCAAGCCGGTAACTCACTCACCTGTCCTTGCAGACCTGCCTGGACACCGGGCAGGAGCTCACGGTGCCCTGTGTGGTGCTCCAAGGACATGCTCGGAGTGACAGGGGGCACAAGGAGAGGGGGATCACTGCACTGAGCCTGTTGCCGTTGGAGCTGGGTATTGCTTTCCACCCAAAGCATTTTACCTGTCTCTGCTTGGCAAAGCACAAGCCACAACCATCACTTAAACGAGCATTTTGTCAATTCTCTCCACACCAGGAGCTTTCCCCTGGTTGCCAGTTAGAAATGGGAATAGCATCAAAATCTTAATATTCATTTTTAGAGCTCCAAATACTGTCAGCTTGGATTCAGGTGCTTAAACTTACTTCAGAAAGGAACCCCAAACCTGGAGAAATGCACAGCAGTAGCCTTATGTCCTCTGTGTGCTTTGGAAAGAGGCTCCCTGAGAATCATTTATGGACTCACCAGCTATGTAAATAGATACATACTGAGATTGCTATAAACTGAAAGTTAGTTGTTGTTTGTGTTCCAGAAATACAAAAGGCCTCAGCCAAGTTTGAGGCTCTGTTGTACAGCCCCCCCCACATGGCCAGAGTTAACCCAAAAAGCCCAACATCCATCAGGGATGTGCCCCTTTTCCTTCTTTCACCTAGAATGGACCTGAGGGACGACATTCATGACACCCCAAGGAACAGAGAGTCCTTAGTAGCATCACAAGCTCAAAGAGCAGCAGCAGCACTTTCCACTCCACACTGTGCTGCCAACAGTTACCAAACTTTGTGAGCATGTTTGCACAATTGCATTATTTCTTTAGCATAGTTTCCTCTGGAAACTGACCTCCCTGTCAGTCTGTCTTTCCTCAGCAACACTGCTCCTCCCCAACAGCATTTCATTTGTCAGCCAATCTCATCCAGGTTTGGAAGAGGGACTGAAGTCTTTGAGACAATTTGGTTCCTACTTGGTTTATGCAATGAGGCAAGACTCAAAGGAGCTGGCTGAGAAGGTGAGAAAGCTCAGTGGAGATGCCACAGAGGAGGCACAGACAGTTTGTTGCCTCCCTTCTTGTCTGCAAGAGATTTCTCAGAAGAGATGGAGGTGAAGGGACAGAAAACCAAACCTGTTCCGAGGAACCTGGCAAGTCATGTTATAGCCAAAAGGTAACCCAGCTCACCTCCTAAAGCCTTCAGCCAGCTCTGCACACAGTGACAAAGCCC